TTTTGGCGCGAAAATCGCTAACTCGGGAACGAGGAAAGCTAGAAAGCTGAAACCTTGGAAAAATGTCCCCCACCCGTATATGGCAAAAAGATTTCAAATTCAGCTGCCTAGGACTGCCCGGGGTTCACGTACGGGCACGTGAAAATTACGGCGGGAAAATTCATAACTCGAGGATGAGAAAAGTTAGAAAGATGAAACTTTGGGGGAATGTCCTCTACCCATGCGCGACTAAAAATTTTCAAATTCAGCTGCCCAGAACTGCCCGGGGCCCACATACGGACACATGGAAATTTTGGCTCGAAAATCACTAACCCGGGAGCGGGAAAAGCTAGGAAGCTCAAACTTCAAGGGAACGTTCCCTACTCATGTGCGAGCAAAATCAGGTTTTTAGAAGCATCCGGGACTCACGTACGGGCACGTGGGAATTTTGGCGCGGAAATCACTAACCCGGGAACGAAAGAAGCTGGAGAGCTGAAGTTTTACGGGAGTGCGGGAATGTCCCCTACTCATGTGCGAGCAAAATCAGGTGCTTAGAAGCATCCGGGGCTCACGTACGGGCATTTGCGCGGAAATCACTAACCCGGGAACGAAAAAAGCTGGAGGGCTGAAATTTTACGGGAATGTTCCCTACTTATGTGGAAGCAAAATCAGTTGTTTGGAGACGCTCGAGGCCCAAGTAAGCCACATGTGAGAGTTTTGGCGCGGAAATTTTACTAACCCAGGAACGGTAAAAACTTAAAAGCTAAAACTTTAAGGGAATGTTCCCTACTCATGTACGAGCAAAATCAGGTGTTTAGAAGCGCCCGAGCCGACGTATGAGTACGTGAAAATTTTGGCGCGAAAACTACTAGCCCAAGAACGGGAGAAGCCAGGAAGCTGAAATTTTAAGGGAATGTTCCCCACTCATGTGCGAGCAAAATCAGGTGTTTAGAAGCATCCGGGACTCACGTACGGGCACGTGGGAATTTTGACGCGAAAATCACTAACCCGGGAACGAAAAAAGGTGGAGGGCTGGAATTTTGCTGGAATGTTTTCGACTTATGTGGAAGCAAAATCACTA